GAGCAATATATCTCTTATATTGCAAGATCCTGAAAAAGGGAAGATAGTTTTGGAAAGCGGAAGGTTTGCGCTTCCTGATGGTCTGTTTAGTTTTCTTCTACAGCTTTTTGGTTGAAGAGATAATTGCGTCGAGGATCTATCGAGGTCGGATCCGGCCACCTGGAAATCCGCTCCCTCATTCACCATTGCAAGTGTGACTCGTTGGCAACACTCGGAATGTGTCTAGAACAATATCTTTGAACGCAAACAATAAGAATAGGAGCAATCGTCATCATCCGATTTGGTATTGGTATAAGCCATGCATCCCTCCTCCACTCACAGTTGCAGAATCGATTGAAAGGTGTTATATGATGGGGACCTTCGAACGAAACTGTATTGTAGTAGACATAGTGTGTTGTGCTATTCCTGTAACCTAAAAAACAACTTCATTTGCCCAGCGCTTTTTCTTCACGGTTGTCGTTTTTCCGACAGGGTCCCTAACAACAGCGTCATTCTCAGCGAGGTATTAAGGGAGAAGGAGCGAGTGATAGGCGGAGGAGGTGCCTTTGCAGCGCGTGCGCACATGTGGCACTCTTCTTTGCGGGGATGCACTTTCATTCTTTGTACTGCCTTCAAATACGCCCTTCTCATGAAGGTGGAGGAATGGAGCGACTGAACCTGCAAAGAAAATTTAATATCATGTTTTTTTCGATTTTCATTTTCTGCTGCGCTATACCCTATTACCTATCTGCACCATGATACCACTTCTGTTACTGACCCCCAAGAGTACGACCCCCCATGGACCAGCCCAACAGGTACGACCCCCCTGTCGAGGATTTCCTCGACCGATATTCACCCTGCTTGATGGGCGAGACTAATACGTACCTGCACTGCTCATCCTTTTCCGGCGTCCAAATGACGGCTGCGCCAGCTGGCGTGGTACAGAATCCATCTTTATATTGACAGCCAGGTAATGGTCCAATAGGGCTTTCAATCGTAGGAGAGCCGTGATATGCGAATACCTTAGTCTGAAATACCACACAATTGGTAACAGTAACCGTGTTGTCGGAACAGCAATGGAGGGCGCGGATGGCCATTCAAATTGAATACGATTTAATGTTTTCCAGACCGTGCCTACGGCTAGCAGCTCGCCATAGGCACACGATTTATGACGTACCATATGCTGACAGACTCCTACAGGTACAGCATTCTCATGTGTAGGAGACACTTTGTGACCGCGCACCAAAAAAGTTTAACGGAGTACACTACGTTTGTGAAATGATTCCGGCACACATGGGCCATACTCTGGTAGCGAACGGTGTTGGGGTCGATACACATTGAGCGACAAAAACTGTGGGGTGGAAGACCACGGCGGCAAAATTCTAGAGCAATTAATTTGCTCAGGTATCTTCCAATAACTGAAGAGGGGACCTATTGGAGCATAGGTAGCTGGAGGTAATGAAGGAGGCCTGTGCGCAGGATGCAAGAGCCAAAATTGTCATACACATGTATGCCCATGCAGGTGTTTTGCTGGACGTTGTGGGTCTATTACCTGGTTCGCCATCAGGTTCATCTGAAATCGTTGTGTTCTGGGTTGCGAACACTAGGTCCGCTAACGCATTATTTCTTTCAATAAGCGCCGCTATGCGGGCATCCTTGTCCTCTTCGGAAACCGTATTAGAGCACTGGATCCCGTCATTTGGGGTGCCTGCTGTGAGAACCTCATTTCGCCTCCCTGGTCCCACATATGTGGATCGATTCGAAACGATGTGGGGGACATCGTTACCTGATTATAAACGAGAAACCCTGGAAAAGTTTTGAGTGGATTTCCGTTGCGTGGCGCCGGTAATTGGGGTGGCTGTAAGCCGGCTGGCGGCAAGCTGTAATGGCAAAAAGTTTGGAAGTGACCTTTTCTCCCACAACGGTAGCAGATTATATCTGCATTAGGTGCTCTTTCCCAGAATCGTCTCGATCTATTATTGCTAGGATAATAAGATCGACTTTTCCTACGTTGTTGTCTTGGAAATCTCTGTCGGTATTGCCGAGTCGAGTGAGAGCGGAGATTACGTGGCTACACTACAACAGGTGGAGGACCGGTACGTACATGGGTGCCAGGAATAAATGTAAATGTCACTTGGCCACATCATTTACGAGGACTATAGTAGGGCTTAAACTACGGGATTCTCTCAAAAGTCAGGGGATTCGCGGCTTTCACATGGAATCTTAGCGCGGGTTTAATCTATCCTGGAATTCATCCAGTAGGCGCTCATTCTGTGCCTGCTTAGGCTGACCTCGAGTTACCTTCTTAACAATCTGCTTTACTCGGTCAGCAAACTCACGGGCACTTTCAGTCGGCCCCTGCTTACAATCGGATAGCTGTTGCCTAGCCAAACTTCGAAATTGGGGCGACTCAAAATGCGTGCGAAGGTGGTCAACCACTTTTGCATAAGAATTTTTATCGATGTCTGACAGGTCATCTATGATGTCCCTGGCCCCTCCTTCCAAAAATCCAACCAAGGTGTTAATACGTAGCTGGTCCGGTAATGGGGGAGCGACCATGCGAACCATGTCCTCAAATTTTCTCAGCCAGCTATCGAAGTCTTGATCGTCAGATCCGGAAAAGCATTTGATCGGTTTAGGTGTGAGCTGCCCGTAGGTCAGGCCACATATGGGCGTAGATACAGGGTCACCCTCCATAGAAGGGTTTTCCTGAGAATGGTTGGGAGTTGCCTGGCTAGAAGTAGGAGTACTCAATACAGATGGCAAAGATTGGTGAGAAAGATTTTGTGAGAAGCGTAGCGACCTCCGAATTGAACGCTATGTGAACGAGTTATTGCTGGACTAATGGTGAGATGTGCGCCAGGAGATCGTTCTCCTGAGAACACAACAGTAAAAGGAGGCCGATAAGTGCCTCCGTTGGCTCTATATACTCGTTCAACTTTACACCCCCTATCAGCGTTTGTCATCGCAGCCGATGTTTCAATTTGCGTTGGGAACTGTTTTGAAAGCGCTTTGTTTGATTCCTGAAGCTTGGGAAAGCGCCAGAAAGAATCTGCGGCATTCGCGGTTTGAAACGATCATTGCGTTGATGCGTCAGCTTTTGCCGTCGCGAGATTGACTGCGCGATAAAGAGTTAGCGCCGACGCTTTGTGTCGGCGGAGTACTGTAGATGAGACTTTTCATGAGAGCATGATCAGATTCTAGCGAAGGAAAAACAAAGAAGGCTTCATATGGAATTCAAATTTGCCATACTCGGCTTGCAATTTTGGAGTAGAGAGAGTCGCAGTGGAGTCTCGAAGAAAGAAATCATGGCGGAGCTGCCGCTTTTAAGGAACCGCCTGTCATAGTTAATTGAGTTTTCAAATATCTATAGTCGAATTTGGTACGCAGAAAAAAAAAAGAAAGAAGGGACGATTCTGAATGGGTTTTTACTCTAATTCCACTTGTTTACCTCTTCAGAAATTTTCCAAAAATCGATAATTTGTCCTTATGACTGTTTCCACCCGGGTGTATAAACATCATCTCACAACGAGAAATTCACCGACGAATACACCACTGCATTAAATGCAAGGGAAGCGGTAGAAATGAAAAGAGACAAACAATGAGTGCGCCAGAAGTTGGCCAGACGACTGGCACTATTCACCTGCTGATTTCATCAGTCCGCTCGCCCCCCGGTAGAGGCCTATACCGGTCATCTCACGAGCTAATCCCGTGAGGCCCACTTCTAATAAGAGGAGATCAGGTCGGTGAATTGCGGGGTACCATGACGCCGCACTCGCTGCTACCAGTAAAGGATTGGATGTCCTCTTAGCATCCTCCCCTCTTAATCAACCAACAGGCCTCGAGAGCTCTCCGGTAAACCACAAAAATTCCACGACAGCATAGAACAATAAACTTCATGTATAAGCACGACGATAAACAGACATAAGGCGCGAAGTACCATGAGCAGAACAAAGTCACATAGATCACAGAAGAGGTAGACAGATGGGGAAGTGGATGTCCCGGTCATCCGACCGGTCGCAGGACGGTTCCGTCGGCAGAATCCTCCGTTGTTCTCCTCGTCCTCGCTCCGCCCATTCGATCGTCTCCCAACCGTCCGTCATCTGGAAACATAAAGCTAAGCGACCGAGAATAAACAATAAAGCGTCCATAGGTCTAGACTAAGCTGATGACCTAGGTAGATAACATGAAGAGAGAATAAATATAAACACGTAATAACTTGACCATTACTCACCGTATACAGTAGACTAGATTCAACTCACATTCCATGACCTAGTTCTAGGGAATCAAACATGTCGTGATCAGTTATACGACTTGCACGCGCAAATCCTGTGATAGCAAGAAGATCAATAACAAGGTACTTGATAAGTAGGGCTTTGAAAAAGTAAGGGTGATGAAGAGGACAGTTATCGCTTTCGAAAGTTGTGTGTTGGATTACTGCTTGCTTCTTCGAAGGCTGTAGCTCCGCCAACGGTCTATTTCTGTTCCCGCCCAGCAGACTCTTCCGTCTGTACGCATAATTGAAGAGGTTCGCGGTCACCATAATATAAATATTCGAGTCTAATCCAGCGAATCCGATGTACCCAGTTCGAGGCAAAATTACGGGTAACAAAATAAAGTGTTCAATGGAAAAGCAATGCGGCCTGGAAGACACACGTGGCCACCAGCAATGTATTCATAGGAACTTATCAAACAGAATACAACATCATTTTTTGGACTGGCCGCTCTCTGTGTTTATATCTGCGTGAATTCATTTCGGAAACGCATCCTGTTGTGTAGGTAGGTGACATCGAGCTTTCCCTGGGATCTTCTTTAATTCATCGATTGTTTTAGTGATACTTGTAGCAGCCCATCGTCTTCAGTAGACTCCACGGAAAATAACCCACTTGCTTTGAAACAGGGAGAATAAGGTTGGCACCGTTTAATGTCATGAATTCGGAAAGTTCTGCAAAACCAATGTTGCACAATATTTGCTTTGTGTACAGCGGTCTATCTTGCTGGTGTGTCCAGTGATTTCTCTCCGGGGTCTGTTCAGCCAGATGCATTTATTAGGTTCGAAGGAAATCGAGATGTTTTGTTAGCGCTCTTGTTACCGTAATTCTTTGCCCACCCTGTATAATTAATGCAAGTTATGGTAGATTTACCTTTAAAAGCTGAGTCAAGGTGAAACGATGACCTAGCAACTCTATGGGTAGCACAACTGGTCGGTAAGCAAGGGGTAGTTGTGCCACTCATCACGTCATCGTGTTAATAGTATTGTCTGAGGTTGATTTTTGTCCATACCTCAGTCTCGTTGGAATAATAGTATTGAAAGAAACCCAATGTAAATGTAAATGTAGGAAGTTCTATGAAATTATAAGGTGGGACAAACAGAGCGTTACGGGTCGTCTCGCTAGATATGATATCAATAAGCAAAGCCCATACATGCATTAGGTTCCTCAATTTTTCACACTTTTCCTGGAAATGGAAGAGTCTGCCGCTGAGTAATTTTTCGTCAGTGCTTTTTCCTTTTCGTCATCGTGACATTCAATTCCGAGCGCCACCTAAACATAGCTTCATAAAATTCCTTCAACCACTGAAATCATAAATAGGTGCAATTTGGAGTACTGAAAAAGCTGTTGCCTGCTATTGACGTCGCTTTGCAAGTGTATGTAGTTGACTTGAAATAATAGTAGATACGTGCTAGAATACTGCAAATTTCTCTGTGACTAATTTTGTAGTGAAATGTGCTTGACCAATTTGCAAAACACTTCCAAACTGTGATCTCTGATAAAGTTTTCAGCTTCCGGTTCACTGTCG